TGTTCTTCTCCGTTGAGCTCTTTCATCTATCCCTCTTGGAATTTCTTTCTCATCAGCCTTCTTTCTCTGTCCAAGTCTGCCGTTGGCCTTTGTGGCCCCTTCATGAAATGGCCCTGATGCTATGTGTTCACACAGTCTCTCCCGCACACAGCCTTGGCACCTCAATGGGCTCTGACGATCGCTTGTCCTTGTTGACTGTCTTTGAGACCCCAGTTCCTCTGAAGTGCTGCAGGCCATGGCACACTGCCACACGGGGGCAGGAGGTCAGATCTCAGCTCTGTCACCTGCTGTATGACCTCAGGCAAATCCTTCAACCTCTTTCTAGGCTTCAGTTTCTTCATCTGCAAACAAGTCAGTTCTGATTCATAGTGACCCTATACAAAGTTTCCAAGGAGCATCTGGTGGATTTGAACTGCCGCCCTTGCAGTTAGCAGTCCAGTACTTTTCCTACAGTGCCACACCATTAGTAATGGACTCAGAGGGTTCCATGATCGGTGGAAGCAAGTCTTGCTGCTGAGGACTCCAGGGTGGCGCTGCGGGATCACACTGGATTGTGAACCACAAGATCAGCGATTCACACGCAGCAGCCACTCCTCCAAAACCCTGTACAGAGTCACTATGAGTTGGAACTGTCTCGATGGCACTTCACAACAATGCTGTTGATAATGAGCCCACCACTGTTACTGACATGCCCCTTGAATTAAGCATTATTTCTCATCTTCGATCAGTTGTAAAAACTTTTAAAGACTTTTCAGACTGTATTCCAAACTAACCCACTGGAAAGATCAATAAGGCTAAGTCATCCACTAAGACAACCAGGAGAGTCTTTCAGCACAGTTGGCAATTAATGATGCACAAAGGAGAGAGGAGTAGGTGTAGCACAAAGAGCATTCCAGAACATTTAATCCAGGAATCACACTGCCTTTAACATCCGCTCAGTGGCACATCCCCAACTGGCAGTCACCGCGCATTGAGCCTCAGTTCCGCAGTACGCTTAGATGAACAGCACACGTGCTCCCTGACGTCCCCATGTCCCCAACCTCTTCACTGCCTCTCTTACCAAGGAGCCCCGGTGGTGCTCTGGTCAGGCATTGGGCTGCTGACTGCAGAGTTGGCAGTTCAAGCCTGTCAACCGCTCCTTGGGAGAAACTGGAGGCTGTTTGCTCCGGTAAAGATTGACGGTCTCTGTGCGTCCAAAGCAGCTTGGTGCAGTGGGCTTTGTTTGGGTTTTGGTCTTGCCTGCTCCAGACACTTCTCCTCCACTCTTGGGTTGCACCCTGGCTTCCTCAGGCGTTGGTATGAGTAGGTTTGCTTTAAACCCATTGCTCGTGTCCATCATCTGCCAGTCTCCTGGACCACAGCCTTTCTTCATACACAGGGAGGACCCACCAGACCTATCTAGGACTGAAAAACCCACAAGTTCTCATGGGCCTCCTCACCCCATGGCTCCTCTCCAAACTACCCAGCCTCTCAAAAACGAATCCCAGGTGCCCCACTGACTGACCACCTTTTGCATTCTCACCACCTTCCTGTCCTTTAACCCTTGATGCCCCACCCCTGCTTTCTCAGGCATTTGTCCTTGACCACCCTCATTTCCTTTGCCCTGGAATCCTCGATGCCACCGCCCAGCCCTTCAGTACTCTCTGGCAGGGAGGGCACTGCTCTCCCTCTCCTCTTCCCTGACCTTGAGTCAGTGCCCCTGCTGGCTTCTCTGCCATCCACTTTGGCTTCTGGGCCCTCGAGAATATCCCATAACCAGATGGGTTGGTGCTACCTCAGACTTGTAGTCTTCACCTTCAGTCGAGTCTTCAGAGCTCCCCACATCCTTAACCATCCTTCTTCCTACTAACCCCGCCCTGTCTCCAGAGACCTTCCCTCCTGCCTCCCCAACTTAATACAGACGACAAAGGCCTCAGTCTCTGTGCAGCCGCCATCTCCCCTAACCATCATCAGGCACACCCAGTTACTTGCCTCTCTCTCTATCTCTCTCTTTCTCATAGCATCTCTCTCCCCTCAGCTTGGAAACATTCTTGGTTCTCTCTCATCTTGGAAAATCCATCCTTAACCCTGGATTTCCCATCTAGAAGCCACCTTGTCTCTCACTTTTCTTTTGTTGTTGTTGTTAAGTACCATCGAGTTGATTCCGACTCATAGCGACCCTGGATGGTGTTTCCGAGGAGCGGCTGGTGAGTTTGAGCCGCCGATCTTGTGGCTCAAACTGACCTTGCAGTCCAGTGCATTATCCCCCGTTAGTCCTTCGGTTCCTCACATCCCATTCACTGCTCAGCCCGCTGCAGCCTGATTCCGACTCTCACAGCTCTGGTGTCTGCTCACCAAGCTTACCAGACTCCTCTTTCTGTAGCTTTCACACCTCCTCCTTGAGGTTCACTGGGCCTCTGTGATGTCGTGATCTCCTGGTTTTCGTCTTTCCGTCTTTCAGGGGGTCTTCCTGTATGTTGGTGTTTTCCAGGGCCCTATTCTTGGCTCTCCTCAGTCACTTTCTCATTTACATCACTGATTTCCACTACCGCTCCTATTCTCATGGTGCTCCAGGTGTCTCTCTCTAGTGCAGCCCAAGAACGTATAACCTGTAGATCAGCTGTCTACTGGCCTCTCAGCGTGGGTGACCCAACCTGTCCAAAATGGATGCATCATCTGCTGTGTCCAACCCAAAGACCCCACCAGCCACCTCACGTCCCACTTCTGAAACCAGCGCGCCATCCTCGGCTCCCCTCTCCTTCATTCTCTCACGTCATCAGTCACCACGTCCTGTCACTTCTAGCCCTTAACACATTTGCAGCATCCATGTGCTTTTCCTCTACCCCATTATCATTGTCATTACTGTTCACTGTTGAGTTAATTCTGACTCAAAGAAACCCTATAGGACAGAGTAGAACTGCCCATAGGGTTTCCAAGACTTTAACTGATATGGAAGCAGACTGCCGTATCTGTCAGTCCTAGAGCAGCTGGTGGGTTCAAACAGCCAACCTTTTGGTCGACTGCCAAGCACTTTAACCACTGTGCCAGCAGGGGCCCTTTCATTCCCCTTTATTACTTCAGTTCAAATCTCCATCATTCTTACCCCCTAACAGACTGCCCTGTCCAATGCTTCAGCCAGAGCAGCTTTTCCAAAACACACCTGACTGCATCATTGCCTTGACTATCGGGTTTTCAGCTGCTCCTCGGAAACCCTTTACAGGGTCGCTGTGGGTCGGAACCGACTCGACAGCACTTAACAACAACGTTCTGCCCATTCCTTTCAAGCTTGTGTCCTACCCTGGTCCCGCCCATCTCCTCCGATTCCTACCATCCCCCCACAGACACACCCATAGGGGTCCATATACACACTTCAGCCACGCAACTTGCACGTCTGTATCTGTACAATGCTACGTGCACCTCAGCCACCTGCCATCTCCCACCCAGTCCCGGGTTTTCTGGCTAATCCTTCCTTGGCCTTCATGATTCCCTTTAAACATCCTCTCTGGGGAGTCTCCCCTGACCCCTTCCCAGACCCAGTTGAGTAGGTTTCCTCTGTGTCCCTGATGTTAGCCTGTGCTTGTCTTTCATATCACACTCTGCTCACCTCACTGGTCCCCCAGTGAAACTGTTAGCTCTGCAAAGGGAAGCGTAAGTGTGTGTTGAGAGATAGGATGGTTCTGGTCCAAGAGTTCTGAGATGTTCTTGAGAAGAGCAGGGCAGCACAACCACAGTCTCCACAGAGGACCCTTAGAGCTGGGGACTGGTGGTCATGCGCGTGGGGCCCAGGGGTCAGCCGTGGGCTTTTCCGCCCTGGGCCTTTGATCTCAATGTGACCCCTCTCCCTCCCCAGCCTACATGAAGCGGCGGCACAGCTCAGTCAGTGACAACCAGCCCTGTGAATCCCCGTCCGTTGGCATTGACTACAGCCAGGGTGCCAGCCCCCAGCCCCAGCACCAGCTGAAGAAACCCCGAGTGGTGTTGGCCCCTGAAGAGAAAGAAGCTCTCAAACGAGCGTATCAGCAAAAGCCATACCCGTCACCAAAAACCATCGAAGAACTCGCCACCCAGCTCAACTTGAAAACCAGCACCGTCATCAACTGGTTCCACAACTACAGGTACGGCTCTGCCATTGCCCCCTCAGCGCTGGGCTCAACAGCGTGACCACCCACGGGCACTACGGTGTCGCCCTGGCTGCTGGGCCGTGGCACATGGGGTTTGGTCACTTGGTCAGTTTTGTGTGTGTTTTTCCTTTTGAGCTGTTAACTTCCAAGATGTTGGCCCAGTGTCTTCTCGTCAGCATCACGTAGTTAGGTACAAGCCGCATCTGCCAAAACCAGAAGACAACGCACCTTGCGGTGCTCTTGTTGGCTATAAGAGTGTAGGCAGCCATGGGTTCACAGCACTGGAGTCTGTACGGGCTTTCTCAAGGCCACATCATGCTGGCTGTCAATCCATCGGCTTCGCCTTGTAAATAAATAGGGCGCTTAAGGCCCCTTCTTTGGGAAACGTTCATGAGCTAACAAAGAGTAAGGGAACATCTCCCGGCTCTCACACACTGAGGCAGGTGTGTGGCCACCACTGTATCGCTAGGCCTTCACAGCTAGAGAAAGAGATACAAAAACTCGCAGGCGTACGCCTAGTAGGACCAGGTGGGCTGGGGGGAAGTGTTTGGAGCAGACCATGGAATCACTGCAGGACATGGAACTGTTAGCACAGCTGAAACCGTGACTCCCGACTGCTAGAAACCATGGCCTCCTAGGGCCTGCTAGAAATTCCTACTTCATGCCTTTTAAGTGACCGTCACAATCACCAGTTCTTCTTGGAGCATCATTTTCTCTTGGGCTCATTAAGACTGGGAGTCGTGGGTGTGCCTGGCTCTCCCAAGTAGGCCGAGTAGTGGGAGCCCTCACAGCTACTCACCTGAAACTGGTGGCAGGTGATAATCATAGACCGGCAGGAAAAAGTCTTTCTCTGATAGGGCCCTGGCTCTTCTAGTAGGTTCTATTGGCGTTTTTGAACGGGCTCAATAAATCACCCAGATTCTGAACAAATTGGGAATTTTTAGACACATTCAGTGGGCACCACAGGAGAAAGATGAGGCTTTCTGCTCCTGTAAAGATTTACAGCCTTGGAAACCCCGTACAGGGCCACTGTGAGCCGAAACCGACTCTACGGCACACCAACACCACCAGTACTACTTTCACTGTTGAGAAAGGCTAAGTCAGCTGATGTAGCTTAGTGTGTGTGCCCGCTGGACCTGCTGCCTGCATCCTCCAAGCTGCTTCCAACCCATAGCAAACCTGTATAGGGTTTCCAAGGATGTAAAACCTGGGAGCAGAAAGTCTCATCTTTCTCCCATTAAATGACTGGTAGATTTGAACTGCTGACCTTGTGGTTAGCTACACTACTAGGGCTCCTTACTTGCATCCTTTTGTTGTTGTTAAGTGCTGTTAAGTCAGTTTCAAGTCATAGTGACCCTGTATAGGGTTTCCGAGGAGCAGCTGCTGGGTTTGAACATCTGACCTTGTGGTTTACAGTCCAGTGCTAAGCCTGCACCGCCACACCTGTTGTTGTTGTTGTTGTTAAGTGCTGTTGAATTGGTTCAACAATTTGGTCCAACAGCTTGGTGGGTTTGAACCTCCGACCTTGTGGTTTAAAGTCTGGTGCCGATCCTCCAGCGCCACCCCAGGAGTCCATTGCCATACCTCAAACCAGACAAATGTTCCCACCCTGGTAGCCCTGGCCCCAGGCAGGCCGTCCTCTGGGCTGGTTCCAACACCTACAGAGTGAATGGCCGAGAAGCTGAGCACAAGCAGTGTGTTCTTCCTGCGTTTGCAGTCAAGTCAAACCAGAGGCAGAGTGAAGCCAGGAGTTTCAATGATGGGGGGGCTCCCTGTTAATGGAAGGAATCTTCAAGAGCAGTAATGAAGCCCCCTGGCCACCTCCCAACAACACACCAGGTGGAACACAGGAGAGCTCATGGAAATGTGGGTAGAAGTCTCCTCACCAAGTGTTGTAGAGTCAAACCCATGTGCACCCTCCTGACACAAAAGTGCACTCAAACATGGGCCTTCAGACCTTCCGTAGGTTAGGGCCATTGTAATGTGAGTAGCTCAGGTCTAGACAGGCGCACATGAAGTTGTCGATTACTGAGTACTTCCTACCAGTTCTGCAGAATGCCTCTCAAACCACTGTTCTTGGCCCTGCCAGGTCCATCTTCTTCCCGGGGCCCTTCTACAGGCCTCAGCTGAATGGCCTTCAGGGCCTCCTGGCCTCCTGTCGGTTTCTGAACTGCCATCTCCTGTGCTGTTGGTTGGTCAGGCCTAGTGACTTCTGACTCCCTTAGGGTGAAAGGAGAAAAGGATGTAAAGCTTTCTTTTCTTTTCTTCGAGGCAGATGCAAAAAGATCCCAAGCATGAGTCTTTGAAAAAACCTGGTCTCCTCCTGAAAGAGGCAGGCCCACTCATGGGGAAGACTCCGAGTCCTAAAGGCTTGGCATTCTCTGAGCCCTGTATGACTTGTCTCAAACCAGAACTGCCTTTTGACAACCACAGCCAGTAGTCCGCTGCCCATTTAACGTGAGCTGTGCACCGGTGGCAAAAATGGAGCAATAGGGGCTAAAAACTTAACAAATGAGGCCAGATCCATAATAAATGCTCAGTAAAGGTTTTCTTTCAAAATTAACTCCGCAGCAAAACAGGCAGATGGGAGAGTAAGGGCAGGGACTCATTTCTGCTGCAGCTCCCTAGAAACGGGTCTTTGAAAAACATACATACAAAAGTTACACACAGGAAAAGCCACATTGTCCTAAATGTACACATGGGGAAATGGGCACACAGTGACATGCCTACATGGGAAAATGTCAGCACAGAAAATACACACATGGAAAATTTCTCATAGTCACCGTATTGTAAAGGAAGAAACTAGAACTCTAAGCCTAGCTTGCCTGTTGTGTAAGAATTTTGCTGTGTGCACATTTTCCCGTGGGTGCATTTTCTTATGTATTCCATGACAGTGGGTTTGTGTTTTTAATTAGGCCTGGAAACATAAGGAAGAGATATGAAATGAACAGGGTCTTGAAAAAAAGGTCGAACTGAAAAAAATGTTCTGAGCCACACACACACACAAAAAAAAAACAAGTTGGAGGAGACATGAGGACCAGGTCATTTAGAAATTGGCATAAACCTCAGAGAATCATAGTCATTTGTGTAAAGTCACCCAGCACATACATTGTTGTTTTGTTGTTAAGTGCTATCTAGTCAGTTCCAACTCATAGCAACCCTATATAGGGTTTCCCAGGAGCAGCTTGGTGGGTTTGAACCACAGACCTTACGGTTTACAGTCCAATGCGTATCCTACAGCACCACCCCAGAAGTCTTTCCAGCAGGGATAGTGCAGCGCTAAGACTCAAAACCATACTCTCCCTAACTTTAGCTCGTCCATTAAATGCTTAGCACAGACCGTATCCAACTCGACCTGGTCCAACCCACCCCACTGAGCTGTGTGTAAGCACTGGTCCACAGCAGCATTCACAAGCACACACTGTGTTTAAAAGGAAGAGTGGATTTTCCCGGTTTTGTCTACAGGAGTTAAATAAGAAAAGTTTTTGTTTGTTTTTCCCTCCTGCCCCACTGAACCCTGAAAGGATTTTGCTTGGGGCCTTTTTTCACCAGTCTCAAAACCAGAAAAGAAAGGGGTGTTTCCTCCTCTCCTTTCACCCTAAGGGAATCGGCAGTCACTCAGACTGATCAACACAGCAGCGCACAGCAAACTTGGTCTCCTCTGGATAAACAGAGTCACCCAGTAGTCAGCAGAGCCTGCGTGGCATAGTGTGTTACATGTTGGGCTGCTAACCGTAAGGTCAGCAGTTCAAATCCACCAGCCAGTCTACAGGAGAAAAAAATAAGGTTTTCTGTTCCTGTAAAGATTTACAGTCCCAGAAACTCTATATAGCAGGGGTGGGGAACCTTTTTTCTGCCAAAATTTATAACATCATTCATGGGCCATACAAAATTTATCAACTTAAAAATTAGCCTGCTGTATCTGGTCCAACACTTAATGAACTCATCCCTAATGTGATGGCTGGAACTGCGGTTGCCTTGGTAGGACCAGACCAAATGATTTCATGGGCCTTATAGGGCCCATGGGCCCGAAGGTCCCCAGCCTTGATATACAGGGTCTCTATGAGTCATAACTATCACAGCCCAGTAGATAAGATTCCAAGTCCTTACTTGGCATTCTATGATCTTTATATGACTTGTGTGGAATACCAGAACAGTTCTTACCACCTGGGCTTTCCACACCAGGAGCTAACCCTCCTGGAGACACGACCAGTGATGCTTCTCACATATGTTGCCCACCAAAAGACTGCTGGGCAGTGCTAAGTACTTACTTTGTTTACTACTTTGTGTCCTAAGCTATACATTGAATATTTTATATACTCTTAATAACATCTCTGCAAGGGAAATATTTTCTTCACATTTGCCAGAAATCTGCAGCCCCAAAAACCAGCTCACCCAAGTTGCATAGCTAGTAAGCAGTACAGTCAAATTTCAGTCTTGGCTCTAAGAAAAGCCTATATTCTGTCCGTGCCAGGCTGCTCTAGAGATGCCCAGGTTAATACTTGGTTAGGCCTGTGGCCTGGCTGGGACCAACCCTTAGCTGCCCATCTAACTTCACAAAGCCCCAGCCAGGGTGAACAGCAATGGGGTATTAACCCTACCCAGGCAGTCTCAGCTGCCAAAGGGTCTGAAAGCAGCCAGTAAAGAGCAATGGCTCATCCTCACAGCCTGTTTGCAAGGGCTCCCAAAGCATCCTCGGAGGAGGAAAGTTCATGATTATCCCTGTGAACTTCTGGGGAGGTTTCCTCAACCTCACCCTGCTACTCTGGCTCAGAAATCTTCCTCACTCACTACCTGCAGATAATAACCCACCAGAGTCCTGACCTATTGGACTAACTACAGCCTGGCTACAGCTAGCTTCAACACTGTCATAAACTGCTTATGCTTACTGAGCTACAAATATAAGTCAGAAAACAATGCTCAGGTTCCGGTAATACATGCATGACTTCATTCCAAGCAAAATTTGTTCAAACGTGTCTCTGCAATCAGTGGATGGCTGCAGACAAGTTCTCTCAGTAAACTGAGTGCACTTGTCATCATAATGTTAGGATGGTGTCCTGGTGTGCGCTGTGGGTTAGTGCGCTGGACTGCAAATTCATTTGAACCGCAGGGTCGCGGTCCAAGCTCACCAGCTGCTCCTCAGAAACCCTATACAGGGTCGCTATGGGTTGGGACCGACCCAATGGCACTTAACAACAATTTCAAAAAAAAAAAGTCCAGTCCAAACAGTGGCCTCTGAGGGCATGCATGTACTGGGCCAGTTAAATTCAAGGCATAGAAGTCAGTTCAAAAGGTTCTGGCAACTGTTTTGGGGCATTCCAAAGGGATAACCTTGCTGGGGTTTCTAAAAGGACACACAGTAATCACAGGGTTTATTAGGAAGAAGTTTTAAGAAAATGGCCAAGAGAAAGTTGCACCGAGGATTTTTTTTTTTTTGTCCTATCATTACAATATGTGAGCTCTGGAAGCATAGTGGTTATGAATCGGGCTGCAAGCTGCAAGGTCAGCAGTTCGAAACTACTAGCTGCTCCATGGTAGAAAGATGAAGCGTTCTGCTCCCATAGAGATTTACAGCCTTGGAAACCCTGTGCAGGGTCGCTATGAGTTGGAACCGACTCCACGGCACATAACAACAACAACAACAACATTACAATGTACCTGCTCATTCTTCAAGGGTAGCAAGGGCTTGATTACAAGAATTTCATTGGGAAACCTTACCCTATCCACCCTATAGCGCTGATCTTACCCCTTCAGATTTCTTTTTTTTTTTTTTATGTTTTATTGTGAGTTATGTGATAGTTTATATGGGAGAACATTTGTTTTACATTCATCCTATCGTATATTGTTTCATTGCCATGGTTACAATCCCCTCCATGCATCATCAACCAACCAAAGGGTATACACTATAAGCCTGCCCCCCAGTCATCAGCACACAGCCCCTCTCCCTCTCTGTGTCTAAAGCCCCCAGCTGTTCCATCTCTCCACATCATCGTCTCAGCCTCCATCTCTGGCATCACTGCTTCTGTGGGTAGGGTCCCGCTCTCCGCTCTTCTCCCTTGATGGTCCCAGGGACCTCCGCTCCTAGACTCTGCAAAGTTAATCATTCCCCTCCTTGCTACAAAATGTCTACCTTTACATTTCCAACCCTCACAGTCAGTCCTGATAACAGTTATTCACTATTGTACCACAAGAGACCTATCCGCATTTCCTTTCATCAGCCTCGCCTAGACAGATTGGATACTACTCAGTGGAGAGTCTACCTTTCTTCACACCCTCTGAATCTAGGTTCCCTCTTGTAAGCTTGTAAGCCAGTCACTTCTTGCCTTTGTAGCCCCCCCATTTTGGGTTGCAAATCAGACTTCTTTTTATTACCAAAACTCAAAGAATAAAAGGAGCACGATTTGAGTCCCATAGGGATGCCAAACTATCACTTTGACGTGGTATAAATCAAAGAGCATAGAATTCTTCAGAGGAGGGTTGGAGAGATGGACAGACCCTGCCTTTGGAAGTGTCCAATCCTAGATGAAGGATATGTTGAGAAGCAATAGCTTCCCATTTTTATATTTTTGCTTATTAAAGGTTTCAGTGATTGTGTGGAAATACGTTTTGACTTAACTCTCATCTGAGTATATGGGACACAGGAAACGGTTCCATGCCTGCCTGCCCCCCTCCATGTGCTTTCGGCAGGCCCTCTCTATACTTGTCCTTTCTGGACTCGGTACAAACTGACCTAGCGCTGTTTTTCCACTTTGGTTTGCACATTATCTGAGGCTTTGTCCCCTCTAGGGAAGAAACACCTAGCGAGATGTCTAACTGGGCCTACACCATGGGCAGGAGAGGAGTAACTTTGGGACAAAAAACCAACTTAGCGATAGTCCTTTCATGGGGTCACCAAGGGCTCCAAAACAGAAAGCCAGGCCCTTCAAGAGATGGTACAGTGTCCAAGCAAAGTACAGGAACATATGAGGGGGCTTCAAAAAGTTCATGGAAAAAAGGAGAATGGAATTTTTCCACGAACTTTTTGAAGCACCATTGCATTTTCTACATACAGTAGGCTGAACTTGCCTTGATCTGTTAGAGCTAGAGCACGTATTTGATCCCTTCCTGCATGATCAATAGGAGCTCTGGATAAGAACTGGACTGCTAACCATAAGTCAGGCACTTCAAACCCACCAGCTGCTCCCGTAGAGTCTCGGGAACCCTACACAGGGTCACTGTGTGTCACCATCGATTCAATAGCAGTGGGTTTGCTTGTTCAAAATGACCCTTCCCTGGGTTTCTTTCAGAAGAGGCAATTCATTGAAAATACACAATTAGGCAAGTTCCTGCCAGAACCAGAAACTGGTAACTCTCTGGCTCAGCGCTAGAAACTGAAGATTTCCTTTTAGGCCATTCTCTAGTAGCTAGTACCCTTTCATGAAGTTGTAGATGAGGAAGCAGTGCCTATTTCTGTATGCCAATCACCTGGGACTTGTGAAGATCCCCTGGGCCTCCAGGCTTTCCCAGCCTTACTGGAGAGAGATGTGCCTTTAAGGAAGGAACTTTGGAACTTTTGCCTAGTGGCAACCAGGGGAATGGCCGTCCATGGGGGGCGGGGAGGAGCGGGGGTTAGGCGTGAGCTTGAACTGCCGAGCTTGGAGTTCAAACGGCTTTGCAGTTGCTGTGGATTAATACGCCAGACTGCAAAACATTTGAACTGCAAGGTCGGCGGTTCAAGCTCACCAGGTGCTCCTTGGAAACCCTAGACAGTATCATGGATCAGAAATGATTTGATGACATATAACAACAACAAGGGCTAGGATGTGCTTGGAAAACACAAAAAGCTTTTCTCATTCCGTGGGAGGTTAGTGAAGGTGACCAGTGCAGCTGGAGTGGGTGCCCTTCCTGACCTGGGGGACCAGGGGGCGACCCAGGAGCTCCGGCTGTTCTTGGGTAGTAGGAGTGCAGGGGGCTTTCAGGTGGGAGTCTGGGGCTCAGTATGGGGGCAGACAACTTTGGACGAGATGGTGAGCTGGGCCTGCAGGTGCCTGCGGGGCCCCCACCCACCCCCGGATTCTCAGCCGCTGCTCACGGGGCTCTCCCTGTTTCTGTCTTGCAGGTCCCGGATCCGCAGAGAACTGTTCATTGAGGAGATCCAGGCCGGGAGCCAAGGCCAGGCCGGAGCCAGTGACTCCCCCTCGGCCCGAAGCGGCCGGGCAGCACCCGGCTCCGAGGGCGACAGCTGCGACGGCGTGGAAGCCCCCGAGGGTCCGAGCGCTGCAGACGCCGAGGAGCCGAGCGGCCCCGCGGCCGCCGCCAAGTCTCAGGGAGGGTCGGCCTTGGAGGAGCGCCATGAGGCACCACCGCGGCCGCCGGAGAAGGCGGAGCCGCCGCCCTCGAGGAGCCCAGAGCCCGCTACCGCCACCACCACCGAGGCCCAGTCCCGGGCGCCGCCGCCGGAGGGCCCCGCGGACGCAGCAGGGCCCGCGCCCAGCCCGGCCGCCGCGGCCCGGGAGGACGCCGCTACCTCAGCCGCCCCGCCGGCCGCCCGGGAGGGCGCCCCGAGGAGTTCCGCTTTGCCAAGCACCAGCGCCCCGCCGCCCGCCACCACCCGCCGGGCCAGCTCACTGCAGAGCCTTTTCGGCCTCCCCGAGGCGGCGGGCGCCCGGGACTCGCGCGACAACCCCCTGCGGAAGAAGAAGGCGGCCAACTTGAACAGCATAATCCACCGCCTGGAGAAAGCCGCCAGCCGGGAGGAGCCCATCGAGTGGGAGTTCTGACGCCCCCGCGCCGCCCGCCGAGCGCCGCGCACCTCCCGCCCTGCGGGCCACGGGGCGGGCCACCGCCGGCCTTGGTGCACGGAGCCGGGCCAGAGCCCGCCGCTTCCGCCCGGCCGCTCTCCAGTCGGCTCTTTTGTACCCTGAAGTGTTTTTTATTGCCCTAAGTGATTTCCACAGGTTCTGGAAAAACTCTTACAGCTTTTGCCTTGCGCCCTCCTCTTTCGTGTGGGCTTTAAAAAAAAAAAAAAGAAGACGACGACGACGAAATCAAACCCACATATTAAAAAGGGGGCTTTTTATCTGCCATCTAATGGCTTCAGAGCGATAATACACTATTATCTTCTTAAACCAGGAAAAAAAAAAAGGAGGGGTGGGCGGGGTGGGGGGAGATTTTTCAGAAAACTTAAAAAAAAGAGAAAGTTTTTGTAGCTGTTCTGTTGCCACTAAGAGATTGCACAGTCAAAGCGACTCTAAACACACTAGTTTGGGTTCCTAAATATTTTCAAACAAAGAAACTTCTCGTTTGAAACTCTGAATTAAAATAAAAAACACATTTACTCCACATATTTTTTAACAGAAAAAGAAAAGTCACATCAGGAAAATAGCGGATTTTGTGGTAGCGGACGTAGTGTTTTCTTGTACATGACTAGAATCCAGCATGTAGTGCACATTGATCCATAGCTTTAACTGACTCTGGACTTTTGCTGACCAGGGTCTGTTTAATACACTCCATTCTAGGCCAAATCAGGACAAAAAGAAAAAGATCCGAATCTAGGTATTTTATAATCTGCTTTTTAACCTCTAACCGCAGAGCACGCTGATCAGACCTCATATCTTGGAGGTTTAGGAGACAAGTTAGAACTGTAGTATGTACCTGTTCATTTTGTTTAATTTATGGTGTCTCTGTGTCTACTACAGCTGCACGTGTGTGAGCTTTTTATTTAAAGAAAGGAGGAACTTGGCCATTCAGGTCACTTCAGGCAGTCCTGAGCCCCTAGTTAGAACCTGGGGTCCAGACTGGGGTCCCCACCCCTTGGAGACGGCAGTCTTTCCTTGGCACAGAAGGTACGACACCTCACACCACTCTCCCGGGCACCTGATGGACTGAGCCCTTCCAGGGGAAGATGCTCCTGGGCCCGGGCAGGGCTTGCGCACACTCTCTCTCTTCCCCTGGCTTCCCACCACAAGCACTGATGACTACATTGAAGTCGTGGGAAGCTTCCTTCCCTGCAGGAGAGAGATCGTGGCAGGCTGGGCTCGGCACCCACCCTGACAGAAATGGCCCAGACATTAACCACCAAAATGTTGAGGCCTCTCTTCGCTTCCAGACCAGACCATTGGCCCTTCATTCATTTTGCCTCTTGGAAAGTTCTTTTTTTATGCACAGTTTAGGACAGTCTCAGTACAAATCAAAAGTCTAACTTGTCTCTGATCCCTCCTGTTGTCTATGTGTATATGCGTGAGAATAGAGGTGGATGTGAGTGTGCGTGTGTGCGTGTGTGCAATTTTATACGTCTGTGTATTTTCTTAAGTCCCTGTGCACACATAGAGTGCATTACTGCCACCTTTTTTCAATAAGCTGTTTTATCAGTTATGGCTTCTACAAGTTTGCTAATCTAGACTCCTTTATTGCCATATCTTTAAACTAACAATAGATGATTTCGGTATATATATATATTTTTTTTTGCTTATTTATAGGTGCTGTATTTTATTATCTGATTGTTAGGAAGGGGTGAAAGGGGCAAATATTCTTTAGAGGGATAGACTGCCGGCAGTATTGGGTATAATTTACAAGATGTAGTTGTCATATTGTATATTACCGATTGAGAACTTTTTGACCGTATTGTGTATCATTGAACCCTTTGTCTTAGGTCAACATCTTTGGATGACATTTTAATGGTGCAGTCATTATTTCTTAAGTTGAATTAATATTACTTTTTTTTTTTTTTTTTTGATTTGGGGGGGTGGGGTGGGAGGGAGTGATCATTTTCAAGGTGTGCTCCCGCTATTACACCTCAGTGTGCTTGTATTAATGAACTTGTAGGACTTTGACTGTAAGATGTGAGCCCACATTTCTTGCATGATGTTTTAGAACTTATGTATTTCATTTACAGTCTCGTAACCTGCAATGGCAGCACTTAATTCAAGATTTCACAAGTTTTTAAGAGTCATTACACTAAAGACAATGCCTTTGTCATGAATACGAAGTTTTCAGAAGGCTCTAGGAAGCTGGGAGGCAGGCCGTTGGGTTGTCTTGTGATGGTTGCATTAGCCCTGAACTTGAAACTCTGGTTCAGTGAAAGTAGAATTCAAAATGGAGGAGCTTAGGGGGTAAAAATGGCTGCATGTCTGGCTCGATGCAGATGCATTAAGTTGAGTTCGTGACCCTTAGGACAGGGAGGAGCAGAACCGCTGACAGTACTGTGGTGTCCTCGCCACGATAACCTCGAGGGAACTGTGTCATCTTGTGTGATGAAGCTCTGTCATTATAACGAGAAGGCCATAACGGGAAACATGAGGGTGTTGCTTTCGTTTTAAAGGCATGGCTGTTATTTACAAAGGTGTTATAATTCTTAGGAAATTGAGGAGTATAGATTTGTCCAACCTAGTGGCCAAATAGTAAGAGCCTGAAAGAGCCACTTTGGCTCTTCCAAGCAATTTAGTCATTTCTGTTGATGTTTGGTTTGTTTGGGGGTTTTTTTGTTGTTGTTTTTAAAAGCCAGAGGAATTGATTATTGTTGATTTCCTTTCTGTCTTTTTGCCAGACTTAATCTGAGTGCTCGATACAATCAGTTGGTTGAATTTTGCTTGTGGTTCTGTGTTTGTATTTTTTTTTTTCTTGATTATTTATTTTTTTCTTTTTGAGATCCCAATCCTATGAGCTCTTGTGTTGAATCACCCCTGTCTGTAATACTTGTAAGAGCTGCCACTAAATAGCACAGAAATCTGTGGAGGGGCCATGTCCCCCTACCTCCCTGTTGGGCCCCTGAGTCTGAGGCTAAGGATTGATCTCTCATCTTGATAAGCAATATTCAAGTGCCTTGAAAAGCATCCTCTTGGTGTGGTTTACTTTCTGTTGGCTGTCATTCTAAGCAGTAGCTCCTCCTCTTCTATAAGCAGACCCTCCTCTTCTATAAGCTCCATCAGTTTAAAAAACATCAGTTTAAAAAGCTGATTTGTACCTCTCCCCCTGGGGAAACGGTTCCATAGGAAACCCTAACACTTAATTACAAGCTCATTATACCATTTTAAATGGCTTCTTTTTGATCATTAGAGGCAGTATTCCTAACTCCAGAGTTCAGGTTTTAGCCATTACTTAGCTGGCTAAGTGGAGACTCCGCTGAAAATCAGTGTTGACATGTAGTCTCTCGGCCCTCGGTTCCTGCCTAACTTCTCTTGTGGTGGCTGAGGTGGAGGGTAATGGGTTCTGTCCAAGACCCATCCCTGCTTGCTTCTGCTCCTGAAAGGGGTATCCTCTCCCCGCCAACTCCCAGCTCACCTCCTCTCTTGAACTTCTGAACCAGTCAGAATGACTGTCTGTGATTTGTTTGCCAGACCTCTCGTTTGGAAGGAATGAACATGGCTAGTTAGCTCACCTGAATGATACCCATAAGGAAGCTGTGCTAGGCGCTGCCCAGGACCTCCCTGGCATAGCTTTGTTCATCATCTGGGGCAGGGGCAGGCCAACTCCAAGAAACGCCAGGATTTGACCATGGGAAAATCTATGAGGCCAGAGAGATGGATGGTTTGTGGCCTCTCTGGAATCATTCCTTGCTTATACCTCCCCCCACCCAGTTTCTTTTCTGTTGGCATCTTTGCTTTCTCCCCATTTCAAAAGCATCCTATCAAATGTGGACATTCAGGTCTGCTGGTTGGCATCTCCAGCCTGGAGGACTACAGAGCTTCGAGTTGAGATCCCCTCAGTACCTTCTTTCTGGAGAAACTCTAGGCCCAGCTCTCTCCCCCAGCAGCCAGGCAGCTCCCAAGCAAACCAGTAAGGCAGGTTGTGTTCTCATCAGAAGGGGCAGTTCTGTGGTCAACCAGCTACCCCAAGATGGGGACTCAGTCACTCCCCAGAAGAAATGGGAGTGAAAGAGTAAGGCGCTTGGAGAGAGCAGGCCTGTGTCCCGTCCTGAGAGTTGCACTGACCTTCTTTGTTCCTCCGGCTCTCTCCAACACTGCTTCTTTGAAACAGGGATAACTAATGAACTCACACTATGCAATGGTTTTCATTCCTCTGATTTCTAGAAAAAAAAAACAAATCTCACTGCAAATAGCAGAGGAACTGGTGAAAAGAATATGCACATGTCCTTCTGGGATCAGCACAAAATGAAATGGTGATAGCGGCGTGGCTAGACTTTTGAGCCGGTAGACAGCAGTCTCTGCCTTACCTGCAAGATGACAGGTTCAGAACACGAGAGGCCACCCCTCCTCTGCGGCCAGTGGACCAGTGAACTCTGGGGGACTAGCATGAGGCAAGTACAGTGGACTGTTTATTGGCATTACTTTCAGCTAGAGGTTTGGCTCCTACGGAGGATGGAGCTGCCTGACCCTCCCTTGGTATCCTTCCTGTCTCCACACTCTTCCTCTGTTCCCCTTCTACCTCGCTGACCTGTTTCTCCACTTGAGGACCACCTCACCCCACCCCACCCCACCCCACCGCAGAACTGTGAGGCAGATGGGGCTAAGGAGGAATAAGAGACAAAGTGGGGCAACGTGAGGAAATCCTGGCCTGGTGCGCAGGCTCCTTCTTCTCGGTTGTGGCCACAATGTGCTTGGCAGCGCACATGGACTTTTCTCTTGGCTCCACCTGTTTCTGAAGCCCTAACAGCTGTTTCCTAATGTCTGGGTTCTGTGGTCTGCCTTGCTTTCTAGCTGTTCCTGCTCAGCTGTTAAGATCCCTCATAGCCTTGCCCTGAGCTGCCCCCAATTGGCCACATGAGGACACCTTCCCAGGATCCCTGCCTGGCAGTGGTGACTGTAGCAGTACTGGGGGTGGC